ACAATAAAAGATACGCTGGTGGCCCCGGAGAGTCAATGAAATATGGCCTTAGCTTTGGAGTGGACTGCCAAATTCCCAGCATCCTCTTTGGCTCTTCAGACACACAGATGGCATCCTGGTACTGGGCATAGCTACGTGGAGAGGCGAGTCTTGACTTCTTGTTCGGCCTTGGTTTTACCTCAATGGGGACACATTTTATAGTCCAGCCAAGGTCACCTGTTCAAACCTGCGCCAAGAAAGCACTCCACTGAACATAATGCGCCTTGCTATTCCTGATGGATAGCTTATTTAAATGCACTTAATGACCTAATAACATAGCGTCAACCCGCGGTATTCTTTTCTAATGAGAGACTCCCAGTTGTCCTTATGTAATTGCTTCCCCTAAATGATGGTAAATGAGTTCTCCGAAACATGTTCCCTTCTAATTCCCATAGACCCCAAGAGAAGACCCCCTACGATGATTGGTCCCATGTAGGTTGCGTTGCTTTAGCTTAAAGGCCAGCTGTTTTCTGAGCCTTTACTTCCTCTTTGTCTTATTTCCCTGAGGTAACGGTTAAACTGACAAGTCACTGGCAAAACTTGACAAATTATCTGCAACTGTGCTGTGATTGGAAAGAAGTCAAGCTGATTAATTGTCATAGACTTTCCAAACTTCTTAAATATAGTGTCATTTATATCAAAAATCACTCATATTCCATTGACCTTCCCGGGTAGTCCCCATGTACTTACGAATTGGGTCATCTATTTTTGGGTAAGAGGGAAGCTACTGCACATTAAGAACAACCTACTGCTGTGAGCTCAGTGTGACAACTCCAACTTTTATTATGGCCAATAATCAATAATTCATTTGCTTTTAGTCACGACTCAGGGTCTTTAAAAGGCAATTCTGTTCAAACAAAAACACAGTCAATTGATTCAGTTGACTCCTAATGTCTCAGGTCTTCAAAGTGGAACCAAAAAGGCATTGCATGAATTCATTTCTGGTATAAATTCAGGTATAAAAATTTTACTGTGGTAGATTTGTGTTATTCTAATGAGCATAAAATGAGCATCCTTATCACAACATTACTGAATTTTTAGTTAGTTTTTCTGTTGTTGGATTGCAACCTATTTTTCCGCAGTAAAATAAACTTATTGTAATATCAACCAACCATGTCTTTAGTTGACTAAATAAATTCTTGGTCAACTAAAGACATGTCCTGATGATTAGGTGACTAAAAAGGGGGCATGGCAAAAGCTCTCAAAACTGTTATGTATCTCTGTGTAGGTGATCCAAACTGCATGGGAGTTGAGTAAATGATTTATGATGAAAAAGTACTAGATAATGTAAGATTAAACTAAATCATGAGTTTTACTTAATTCCAACAATAATACAAAATCTTCAGCTAACTCAACTTCTTCTGTCCATCTTAAATAAACCTAGTACATATTTCTGTTGTTACCCCATATAAATCCACATAATCTAAGGAAATATTGAAAAAGTTAATATGCAGCAGCATCACAGTTGTGTATTATAGTCGCCCAAATACATACGCTCTCCCAACACTAAAGATTAAATTTTAATTTGCTGTGTGTATTGCACCATTTAAAGGGTGTCACATTTGAGATGATGTGTTTTCTCATCGTAAAGATATACATGCTTAAATGAATCTGTTGTTTAGTAGCATGCAAGGTTTTTCCTTGGTTACAGCCATGTGTATATTATAATGTCATATAAACCAAAGTTATAGGTCACTTTGAAGAGGTTTGTTTGCGTGTATTTTCCAATTACAATATAGCTTCAATTGTTTACATCAAAAATCAGCTAAAAGCCACTCCAATCCTGTGCAGGTCATTAAACCCCTGTGCGCTTGGACTTACTTGACTCCGCTAATAGCCGGGTTGCTACTGATGACACGCTGAGATTGACTGCTGATGAGGTTGACATGGCAACCCGACGTCACTCAGCGGTAGGTGTATAGGAAAGGTCATGCTGTTTGTGAAATTATCTTGTACGCCTTAAAGTTCACTGAAGCGCCTTCGTTAAGAGTCTCTTTTTGTTTTGCTAATGACATTTTTCCCTGGCCGTGTCAAACAGGGCATTTCCCCCTTTTTTTCTGCCAGAGGTAATCAACAGCATCCTCTGTGATTGTATTTTAATTAAAAGGCACCATTTTAATCATCTCTGGTGTAGTGTCGGGGAAAAGGGGATGTGTTGTTATCACTGTCCCTGCCTATCACACGAGCACGCGGACCCCAGCACGCGCTCATCGACAGACTAACCATGCTTGGCTGGATGCTTCATTAAATGGAAGGCCATAATTAATATTGAGAGCTGACAAGGCTGCTCAGAAAAGCCCATGAATTAAGCGGGAAGTGATGAGGAGGTAAAGTTGAATGGACGGACACTAATTGCAGAGCGGTGAGATGCATGGTCCAGGGGGACGGGGACGGCTCCTCTGGCTTCAAGCAACTTCGGTGTAAAGTTTGTCCTCGTCTCCTGTCTCTTTAAGACAGGTGTAAAATCTGCAGACAGTGAAGTCATCTGTCCAAACCTCCATTTGGTCTTCCTCCGACACCCCAGGCCTTCTCTTACTGCAGTCCATTTAACAGTTTGTTAACAGGACTCTGTCTAATTGGCACTAAGCTTTGAAAGTACCACTTTACTCGTAATATACAGCACTACAGATACATCAGTATTTAAAAAAAGAATTCTACATAAAACAGTGACAGTAAAATGTATAAAATAACCACAAATAGATTTTGTATTTTTAGTTGATGCAACATGTAGGCAATATATTAGTGACTTCATGCAATAACAATAGATGAAACATAATAAAACAGATTTACTTTTCAGTCTGTATCTATCAAATATGAATCTAATAAGAAACTTTCCTTATTTCTGAAGTGAGGTTAGTGCAGGTTACACTACATGTTTAAATCAAGCACTTTAGACTGTGTGGATGTTGGCACCAGGGGAAACATTGTCTCATGATCGACCCATTAAACAGAGTTATGTGTCAGTGAAGAAGCTGTCGTGTGTGTAATCTACTGGTGAAGCAGGAATTTCAGAACATTGTGCCTTTTATTCCAGTGCAAAAGAACAGCATGCCCCACGGTTCTCACCATTGAACCCATTTTGCTGACAAATTGAAGCATTACATCACAAAGTGTCATTTTATGATATCTACCAAACAAAATGTCTGCACATTATGTTTATACAAGGACCCTGGCAGATTATTTAATTACTGAAGGGCCAGAACAGAAGGCCATGCAGCCTTGCACTTAAAACAATTTAAAAGTTACAATTTCTGCTGCACTTGACGTTATGCCTGTGTGAGAACTGATGAACAGACTCCCTTCACCTATCTCTTCTCATTATTAAAACCTGACAGAGACTCTGCTTGTGCTCAACCTGTTCTGTATTCACGGTCATGAGCTGTTCTGTGCTGTACATCATGAAAACGCCATAGCACCGTGGAGCTGCATCCTATATCACACTGACCACTGACCAGGCACATAGGAGGGCAATACAGAGTTAAGAGCAAAGAGTAGGTCCCATGTCTATGGGAAGGCCACAATTGAAAACATGCAACTAAACCTAAAGAGGCCTGACCAGGTGTCACCTAGGGCAGAGGGCTCCTTCAAGAGCCTCAAGTGGGTCAAGTTACCTATCATTTTAACTAAATGGACCTACAATTACATCAAGCTATAGGCAATTGTAGTAAGTATGTAACAATTTCATATGTGTAGGGCATTTTTGTACCTGTACCTTTTGCATTTAAAACACATGGGCTCTATAGGTCATATCTTAATAATATCAGAAAATAAAATAAATAAAAACAGTTAGAAGGTTGTGTTGTCCACCCTTCTATTTAAGCTTCAAGACAAAGTGAAATGAGGTTAGTATTTTTCCTCTAAAAAAGCTGATCACCTGAGCTGATGTGAGCAGTATCTGGTGTGATGTGAACCATACAGTCTATAAAGTGAGCACAGGGAGCAGCTTCTCACAGTGCTGCTGCCATCTGGTCATTTATTAGTCTGAGCCACTGACCACCTCACATGCATTATAATAACCTATTCATACTACATCATATGGACACTTCGCCTGTGGAGTTAGTGTCACAGGCACAGTGGAAGGAGTCACACTAATTGGTGAATGATAGGTCTGCCATTAGTGCCGAGATTCACTCGGTAATGTAGTCGTAAGCTCCACTGTTATTATGTAGCAGTCACTCGTAGTAACTTTGGACTGGTCTGGCTGCTGCATTCTACACTACACTTATGGTCCATATTTATGATTAATTCGAAGTCATCTAATCCTCCAGACGAGGTAAATAATAATTGATATTTGCAAATAGTTATGGTGCTAACTTTAAACTTCGGTGTGGTCACTATATCAAATGAAATTGCTGCGCTAATTAGCTCATGCCATGGATCTATTAAAATAACATAGACTCATAACTCAAGTTTTGTTGTAAAGAACAATTCAGACAGCATAACCAACTCTTCACATTTGTGTATATTAGCTATTTAAGCTGTATTTTCTTAAAAAAAAAAAAAGTATTTAAGTAAGTAGTAAGTATATATATTTAGCATAGTAGAATGAAAGCTAGCTGTACCACACATTAGCCGTTTAGCCAAATTTATCATCTGAACTGTTACACTTTAAGAGATGTAATATGTTTAGGCTAGCTATATTTTTTTCACTCACTCAGTGTGCTACTTCTAATTCCAACTGATTACCCTATTGTATTTCAAGTGTTCTCGACCAAATGTTAAATAGTTGATTGGCGTGTAGTATTTTCCTATAGCCTACGTTGGCCTACATATTCCTATAGACATTGCAACCATACAGAATCTCAAGTCTTTACAGTCAGCCCACACAATGATGGTATTGATGCTTCCTTTTTCAGATGTGCTGTTGTTACCGTGTGAAATCATGTCATATGTTGATCCTAATTAATATGCCTGTGTCTCTCCTCTCGCTCTCTCCCTCTGTCACTTTTCCTCTCCTGCAGGCTGCCTATTCGAAGACGAGCTCTGCACACCATATGAGTTCTGCGTCAATGGTAAGTCAGCCTCCAAGGGCGCTCACACCCACTACGTCTCATTATAGAGAAACATCCAGCATGGTCACAGCCCTCATCGAACGCATGCAGTTTTTAAGCTATTTTTAGAGCGTGGTGTGGGTTTTCCATTCATAGACTTGTGTAGGATGGCGTTAGGAGCTTTGTGTTTTGAAATGTATCTGTTGAATCATATTTTGAATGTCTATTATGCACTGTTTGGCCCTGAGGTTTCCCATAAGCACACAGACGAGCCCTCCATTTATTGAAGATGCTTGCGTCTGTGTCCGGTTGCCATGACAACATGCATCCGATGAATGGGAAGATTTTTTTTTTTTTAACCCAGTACGATTTCCGGCCCCGTCGCACACCTGCGTTTAATTTTGAGGAGGAATGATGGTACATAGATACCAGTCAGGCTTAATTGGAAGGCCATATGAAAGGATAATGTATTCTGGTATTGTGGTTCACAAGCTGTCCGTGTTTGTATTTGGTAAACACACAATGTCCGAATGCCTCTGTGTGGACCATTCTTTTGTCTGAATGAAATAGATACGTGATTACCGGTCAACATATTCATTTCAGGAACACGAATAAAGAATAGCAGGACAGAAAAACAATACGAATTAGTTTAGACAAATATAGGATCTGTAGTTTTTAGTGTTGTCACAATGCTAAAATCTTAAGTTTAATTTGATAAAAAGAAAGAAAAAGACTTGATCCTTGATAACAATTTTGATAACATAATGATAAATGCACAATAAAATTTTCAACACAAAACAATACTAGTTTCCTTTATGTTACCTTGCGTTCTTTTTGTATTTCCTATATAGATCAAGGACAGTCTAAAGTTACTAGTACTACTACAGTTTGTCCTACTTATGTGATAACACTTAAAATTAAATATTTTCAAGACTGGTTTTAGTACTGATTAGTGCCTAGGTAATGGTGTTTTGACAACAACAGAATTTTGCATTACCTGCTGCTTAATAGTATTTTATTTAATTTTTTTTTACCAAATAATGAATTTACAGTTAAATACGGCAGGTCAGATTCAAAATACACTTCATTTATTTCATATTTTCCACTTTTAAACAACCATGTTTTGAAAGGCTGAAGCATTTCATCACCACTGAAGACAACAAACCAGTGATAAATTAGGATTTTTGTAAATGTATTGTAGAAATTGTAGACTATCTATATTAGAAAATAAATGTCTTTCCAGCCATTTTTCATTAGCCCAGTTCGAGCGGAGAGAGGAGAAAAAAAAACCCTCTTTAATTACACACTGACTGCTTTGGTTCAGAGCAACGCCTTGTAGCCTAATAGAACAAAATTTGCTGACAACTCGCTGGAAAATACCCCGAGGCTCAGAACGAAGGCTTCATATTAAGTTTAGCTTATTATGCACGCTCATGAGACACTTATTTCTTTGTAGCTTTCCTATTTTGCCACCACAACCTAATATCCAAGTTTTGCGGAGACACTATTTGGTGGTATGATTGCGTTTTGTTCATGTTACCCGCAGTGGAGCGATGAGGCTTCTGGACTCCTGATGAGCGGGCCAGACAGGGCACGCGTGGGGGTAACTAGGTCTGGCACTTTCTCGCCTCCCTCAAGGACTAACCTGGTTTTCTCAGGGTTGGGCCAATCCTCACTCGCACTGTTGCTATGGAGAAGGGCTTGACAGCTTACAAAAAAGGAGCTTCTTTCTGTGTCAATCAATATTTGTTTTTGTAACTGCATGTACTTATCCCTTTATATCTCACCAGCAACCACTTCAAATCTATATTTCTCTACCTACTCTTTAAATGCTATGTAATTACCACAATGTTGGAAAACACATTTCATTTGATGCATCTCTCCCTGGTGTGTTGTGTTTTGCCGCAATGATAAGCCAAGCTAAAGTACAGCGGATAAGTGGTCCACGCTCCCTTTGGGCATGAGTTGGCGCCTATTAAACACTTAACCAAGGCTTTTTTATATTGATCCGTGGTTATCTTACCTCCACTTGAGCCAATATTGTCCGAAATACTTGCAATTTGTTTTAGATTTAAACGCTTTGGCTGACGGTGGTATTGATCGTAAACCTGCTGCATCTGCAAACACCAACACTTTAAGCAACAACTTCTACATTTCAAGATAAGTGGACACTCAAATGCATTTGAGCACACTTTATATTAAACTACTCCAGGTACAATGAGGGTTAGGGTTAGAGGCAGGGATATCAATGACCATAAATTCAAACATGTTATTTCAGTGTAGTTACTCCTAATAAGTAGAGCAAAATATTCAACTTTTTGATTTGTTCTAGACCTCTAAATGCACATTGTAATGAAAGTTAGTCAGTTCATTATTCGATCTTATTATTCAGTTGTTAATAATGTGCCTCTGAACAGAATTCTACTTTTTAAACAAATATTGCAAATCTAATCTCGCTTTTAATACTATCAAAATCTATAGAGATTTTTTTTCCACAAAACTGTGCCACCCTAATAGAAATATGGAACTGAATGGTTAGAATTAGAGAGGTGTGTTTGATGTCGAGAGTGTGCTTTGTCTCCCTAATGTTTTTATTTTCATGTAGATCTGAAGTGCACGCATAATTCGAATTATCATTTCAAAGGTTTTTAAAAAGCCGTAAACACTCCACGCCTCACATCCTAATCATTGTAGATGTTTTCTCTTCCCTATAGCGTTGTGCATCTGGACTGCCTCGCTGCACTGATTCTGGCCTATTCATTTTGGACGACACTCGAGCACACCTGTTTCAATATGTCTTAATTTGTCTCCGGGACTGTCCTTCCCTCCCTCCGTTCCCTCCCCTCCCTCCGCCTGGCTGTCAGCATTTGTGTTTGCTCCTGTTATCCCCTAGCATTAGCCTTCACAGTTTAAACAGATTTAGCCGTACTACTGTCTGTCGCGGTGCCTGTGGAGGAAGCATTAGGATTTACAGCGCTTTACCGTTTTGTGGTGGGAAATCTTTGTGTGTCAACAACATGCGACCTAGAGTGAGATTTATTGGAAGGTACATCATAGGTGAACCACATGATTGATTCCTGGGCCAGTTTTATCCATTATAGAGTAAACAGACCAAGGTTCATTTGCATTGTGTTTTCCGAAGTGCCACAAATTGATTTGTCGTCAGCTTAATATTTCTTTAACACTGACAGATGATCATTACAGAATCACTGTCTTTATAGACTTTGTTTCACATTCTGCCAAGTCCTGAAGGCGTTCAGCTAGGGCTATACAATGTATTGTAATCAAATAGAAATTGCAATTTGACTTAGTGCAATTATCAAACCGCAAAAGCTGCAATTATTTAGATGATAGAACATCTTCTGGGAAAAAAAAAAAACCTTATAGAAAAAATGTGTACCTGTAGTTTGGACCTTTGCATGTTCTGAAAGGCATGGTATTCTTGTATTAGTTTATCAGTTCCTTGTCTTGTCTCAAATGTTAGAGCAGACCAAAATCAACTTTTAGCTATTTTAACCATGTTATAGTTGTTTAACCTTTTCATTTTCTCTTCTCATTTAAAGTTGTGTTTAGCATGATTCTTGCATGTTTGAGAAATCTTTATATGTCATTACACTGATCCACCCCCATTTTCACCGTCACAGGTACATGCCCACTGCTCTATACTTACTGCTCTAATAAATTTTTTTCTTAATTTGTGATATGCGTAGGATTCGGTTGTATTGCGTAGTCATTTTGTCTCAGATGCTGACAGCTGCGGCTCTTTGTTTTGATTATGTTTGTGGTGACGTCAGCTCCCTTTATGCTTTGCACTTTTCAGCTAACTTGTTTCTTTTATTAAATGTTTTTAGATCAATATTGTGATTTAACATATCCAAATTATAACACAATGACCAAATTATGTCATATATTCTAACTATATAGCAGACACAAGCAGAATTCTTTTTTTAACATAGTTTGGAAATCTAATCGCAATCGCAGCACTTGCCAGACTAACTGTGCAGCCCTACTTAACAAGTGTCTTAAGTTTTTTTGTACACATATATCACATATCTTCATTGCATGGCATCTTTATCTTATGTTCAAATTCTGTGAACCGTTCATGGTGGGAGTCTCCTAAGCCTGAAATTAAACCGTTTTGATGCCAAAAGTGTCAGAGAGCTGCTTTGTGATTTCTCATGCGTGTGGCTCTGAAATGTTACCTTCTCTCCTCCTGAGCTGCACCTGAAACACCTCAATAAATCAATCAGCCATTATATTTGACTAACAGGACTTTATATGGTTTAAACAATACATGAGCTGTGTATTCTATGACTGAATGTTGGCTCTGCTTTTACCGGAAATGTCCCACATGAGTCATCTTGTTTATTGTTTGGCTCTAGATCCACCGAAGAGGAAAACTATCAAACATCTAACAGCCCTATCTTCTGATATGTCCCGACTCCCTATACCCTTTATTTAGTCATTACTGGCTTTTACCAAACAGAAACAGTAGGCCTGCAGGATTAATCACCGCTCAGTCAACATAACAATTTAAATGGTCATAATTCCCAAGGCTGCAGTTATTTACGGTATTTAAATCCATTCATTGTCCATTGGATCTTATATGTTTAACATGTGGGATTACTGCATTAGTTTATCACTTTCCTGTCCAAGTAAATCTCCTGTGCTTATTTAGAATGGCTCGACTTCATTTTAAAACGTGGCAAAAATGCTGTTATGTTTTTTGTTATTTACAAAATTGTTTAGTGCTGCCCTTCAGAAAAAGACTCCATGCTAAATCAAAAATCAGTTCAAATGTCTATATTTGTATAGCGTCAATGCTGATAATGTGATGAGTGGAAAAGAGTGAGAGCTGGCAGTGTGAGAGGAAGGTGCCATGTTGTTATTCAGACACATTTGTTATGATCTGTGTCACCCGCAGCTCTCCTGCTGCTCCATATGAAATCCTAAAATAACTTGATGTTGTGTGCACAGTGTGTATGGTAATCCACCATCTCCCACGGGTTTGTCTCAGAACGGAGCTGTCATTTACCGGGTCAGAGGAACGGGAGGGAGGCAGGAAAACACCCACCTCTGCTGCAGAATAAGAATTTCATTTAGAGGTCCCGTCTGACATCACATCATTATCTGGGTAATTATTACTCTCAGAGCATCGAGGCGAGCACAGAAAATTGCTGCATGTTGGGGACATGAGCTGTAATGTTTGTGTATCGTACAATGCCCAAAGTGTCAGTGAGCATCAATCATAGCATTGATGTTTGTTGTCCGACAACTTGGGCTAATTAATGGAGTGCTCTGGTGCATGACAAAGTGTTGATTCACATCATTAGGTCCAGGCATGGTGAGGCATTGGCACTAGTGCTATGAGAGTAGTGCTGTGGACACGCTTTACGCACAAGGGTCAGTGCACACACTGCACCTGCAGGAGTCATCCCCACAGATCATCATGAGGTGGACTCTCATGAGTTTAGCCAACAACAGTGACACGTCTGTACAGCTGAGAGGAGGTGACAGCACAGCTCATTTCTATTCCAGACATTACATTTACACACTGCGTCTGCAAGCCCCCGAGCCTTCAGAGGTCTAGACCAGCCATTGAATGATGAAGCTGATAGGGACTCGGTGGCGTGGGTTGCCTAGCAACCAGTATTGAGTGAGGCGGGCGGGCGCTGATAGGGAGATTACCCAGACTCTGATAAAGTCCTTTCTGCCATGAACGCCTCCTTATCTTAGCACTGTCAGAGGAGAAATGTCAGCTATTAGCTTCGCCCCAAACCAGGGAATCAGGGTACGGGGCGGTCAGCGTGCCACACACTATGAAGCTACTGAGCAGCGTTTGTCTTCATATCCCATTGTAAATGCTCTCATATCCTTGTGCATGTTGTCCGTGATGAGTGCTCACTGAATGTCTCTGTTTGTGCAGATGGAGTGTTCGGACAGTGCCAGGAGTTGGCTGGAGCAGACCTCCACACTTATGACATCTCATCGTCGGCTCTGCAGCGCCTCAGGATCCTCCTGCAGAAACTGGCTCACAGAGGTACAGCCCCACGCTTCTCTGCTACAGGCCTTATCAGTCATGTACAGGGCCGCAAGCACTGTGGCAGCTGCCATTGTGTGGCTCACCAAACAGCCAAGCTGTCTCTTTTGGCGTGCACAGGACAATGCCACTGAGCTGAACAGGTCATTTGACTCACAGTGGCCATTGTTTAGCCATTATTGCCCAGCTCGAGCAGCCAGTCTAATTGGCCTGTATGATAGGACATTTAGAGCTAATTTTGTGGATGAGTAACTGTGAGGTGTGCAGTGTAATCACATCAGCCAGACTCTCCCACTCAATCAGTGGCTCCAGCTAATGTGCATGTTATACCAGGTTACATCTTTGGGGAGACATTGTATATGCACAGTAACCTAAGCAGCAGTATTTTAGGATCATTAGTACATTTATTCATCCAGACACTAGGCTTTGTTATTTCTAACCACGCTTTTCAGCTCTCATTAAATTACTAATTAAACAATTCAGCTCTGTTATGATGGTCAAGTCAATAGATTTTTAACTGTTGACTGTTTGGACCCTGAAGACCACTGTTGTTAAGGACAAAAAAAAAATTAATGAAGCACCTGAGACATGTATTCATCTGCAACTGCAGTATGCCTCCACCAGGGGGCAGTAGATGTCTTTAACACAGACCGTGACGGGCTTACATTAGCCTTTCAGACATAATTGGCTTTACGGGCCAGTCTCAGCTTAATATTTTTAACAGGCGTGAACCAGTGTTGAAAATCATTAAGACCGAGCAGTCGGCAAGAGGATATCAAACAGAAGAAAAAAAACAGCCATGAATATTAAGCCTGGCAGGACCACACATTTATTGTAGCCTAATTACTGCTCCCAAATAAACAAATGAAAGCAGAGACATCCACTGTGTGATTTTCCATGCTCACTTTGAGAGGTTGATACCTTTTGGCCTTTAATCTCTGCACTTATTCTGTGACCTTGTGTTTTTAGACATCTGTTTACCACTGCAGACATGACATCATCACTCCAAATCATTTCCCTCCATTTGTTCTGTCCCATCTACAATCAGCGAGCAGGGGCTTTCGCTAGAGCTGCAGCACACTGGTAATGCTAGGTGACACGTTATTCTTATCAGCTATTCAAGTGTCATCTTTGAGACACAAGGGGACTTTTTTCCACCACACGGGTGTTGAGACCATTGTACTGTAACCTAAATTGAAGAGATGAAGGGGGAGGAAAAATAGGGACAGACATCAATGGAATCGATGTACAATCCTCTTTATCTTGCATCAGAGGCACAGGTAGACATCACACAATCTCTGCTCAGCGCACAACACCAATGTCACCCCGATCAATAGAGAGTGACCCCTCCACAAAGGGGCTGGGCTTGTCAGGATGTGTCGCCATTGGCAGTTTACATGGTGTATTAAACTTTCGCCACAATACCACTAGAATACAAGAAGCATTTCGCTCACTGTATTGTCATAGCCACAGCTTACCTTCTTACAAGGCTTTTTAAAAAAATACAATCCATTGTACATCATTTCAATACATCATCATAATATTTTGTGCAAAGACCACTGTTTAAATGGTGAGTCAGTAAAGAACCCTAATAACTTGTCCCATTATAAAAACAAATATTGCAGCAACATGATGTATTGCTGCTGAAAATTGCGTTAAAAACAATATCGAAGACCACTTTGTACCCATGATACTGCATCCCTAATTGGGATATCCCATTAAACACTTTTCTGAATGAACTGACTGTATTTCATAAGCTGCAATAAAGTACAATTAACAATATTTTCTTTTAGAAACAATAAGAATTTCAGTACCCTCAATAGGGATGCAACTAATGATTATTTAGTAGTAAGACTAGTGTCACGATACTAAAATTTCAAACTTAAGACCCAAATGACCATTTTAAGAGCTTTTTTACACAATATTGTAATTTACAACACAAAATAATAGTATTTGCTGATTATACCATGTGGTCTTACTAGTTCTGATGAAACCCAAGATAAAACTATTCAAGAAAGGTCAAATCTTATGTAGTTATGTGATTTGTTTTCAGTATCTCTACTTGTTTAAATTAGTATCTAGTTTTACTATTAATTATTATCTGATTTTTGATACTTTTGACTACCCTAATTTAGACTAGTAGTCAACAGTTATTTAGTAACAGTTATTTTGTCAATTAATCGACTAGTCAAGTGATTATTTTTATTAGAATAACCAAATAAAGGACGTAATATTGTGACTGAAGGCTTATAAAATAATTAAGTGTATTATACTATCTTTTTGGATGTTTTTAATCTGTATAATCCAGATACTGATTACGATTATCAAAACACAACTACAATAGTTTTTTCTTCCAGTTATAGTCTGTTAATCCTTATGTGTCTTATGTGACCTTCTGCAGCTCACATGTTAACATACTACTTAACAAACAAACAATGAAAGCATGAAAAGGTAAGATAAAATGCATTTTTAAAATAGTTACAATTTTAGCCTCTGAACTAATCCCCTGAACTGAGCATCCTTGGTTTGGTTCAAATTCTGCTTTGGGCACTGTCTGTGAATGCACTATATTATATAAGGTTATGCAATGTCTCTAGAATATTGTATCCCTTTGTCTTTTAGGTATTTTTCCATTTCAGTTTTGAAAACCATTATGTATCTGATCAAAATGAATCACGACAGCTTTCCTTGTTAATACCACGCAGTAAACTCTGCTAACCCAGAGTGGGTGGGCCCACTGACCCTGTGCACTGCAGCGTATACTCTTGCAGACCATGTACCAGTGATCTACGGTGATGCGCTGTGACATGTGCATTGGCTCCATTGGCAGGTATAGTCAGTCAGGACAAATCAGAGCTCTGAAACTGACATGCCATCTAACCACAGTGAAGCATCATCTTACCTCTTTGGTCTTGTCCTGTGAGCACTACAAGTTAATGTTCTCTGACAGAGGAGCACAGGAACCTGACTCAGACTCTGCCTTGTCTGTTCCCTGACAACCTTGCAGCATGATACAAGGAAGAAAAATTGAACCAACCGCACTCTGGTATATGTCATGTCAAAACAAGCAAGCATTCAACAGAGATGACAATAATTCAATCTTTTTTTGTAATCGATGACATCCCTTTAAATCCTAATCTGTGTAGCAAGTGAAGCAGGCACAGGACTAAAACATGCCATGCAATTACTTTACTTCAACAAATCCATCAGCACAGCTAGATCCAGATTTAACCCACATCCTCTCACCTAGTCGCTGGCATGACACCTCCACCTCTACAAACTACACTTTGCACTTTATTTGTGCTATACTGCAGTGTGACTTCTAAATTATTAAAAACTAGTGTAGTGTAGCACTTTCATTTTTCATTTATTTTTGTGGTTACTTCTCCTGTGAGCGAATGAGGGGTTCTTTCCAAATGTATTCCTAGATCTATCTGCAGAGTTATTTTAATTTATGTGTCATATTAGATTGACACGTTTCATTTTGACTAATTAGGTTGAACTGGCTGCTAAATTATTCACACTCTCTTCTATTAGTGCCTTTAAAATCAGTTGGTGGACAGAAGTAAAGGAAAGGGGAAAATCTGCATTTCAAAAACACCAGATGAAACAAGTAGACATGTAGAAAGAGTCCCATCTAATAGGCTTTGAATATTTAGGAGGCCCTCACTCTCTCTGTCACACACCAAACAGACAGGAGGCCGGCTTGTTTGAAAGCTGTTGCACTAATGGCAAGGCGTTAATTAAGCGAGGCATTTGCCTGAGACGGCCCGCTATCCTTAACAGGCAAAAAGTGGCAGCACTTGGTGATGGGACCTGCTCTTTCTTCTGGACTTCCAGATGAATTTGCATGACATTTAGATTCTCAGCGCCAGAATAATCAGCTGAGAGGTTGATTGAGAGGAATTGGAGCGTAAAGGCCCCAGCACATTTTTATCCTGACTTTGAACAAAATGCCTCATTTTGGTGGTGTCATTTGCACAGGCATACCTTGTCCCTGAAGTGTGCCCACAGCAGACACATACACATAGTATGTATGGAAATGAGTGCATCCCCAGGAGACAGAGGGGATAGAGGTGTCACAGTCAATGAAGCCAGCCCTAGCTGTGGGCTTGTTGTGGCGCCTCTGCACGTTTACACTGAGCATTTAACCAACTGCAGCTAACTGCAGCAAGCATATGGATCCTTTAGGGTGAAGCCTGCTCTAACTTCCCCATCGTGACTTATAATAGCTGAAATGATGATGATCACCACTATGAGATATAGTGAGAATACAGCACATTGGGTAAGCCACGGGTAGTTAACTGTCATTGTTGTACGGATGGATGGCTGAGCCTCGTTCCAGAACAGTGACAACATACGCTGCTTTGTGCACCATTCAGTGCTGCCAAAAAAGACTGCCGGCATCTGTAGCTGCTCTGCATAGCTCAGATCCTCATCTGCTGCTTATGAATTTCTATGAGAATAACCAGAGTTTAAGGGTGAACAGCCAGGCTAATGAAGACATTCTGTGGCTCACATACTCTTTTAGTCAGTTAGTTTGTTGAAACCTTCCATATTATTACACACGGCTTTTGTCTTTCAGATATCTAAAGGTTAGCAGTATGACAGCTTGGAATTGTAGCCCACAACAGATTGACTGCCTCATTAAAATGTTTCTACATCGGGTTTGAAGAGAACATCTTGGAATGCCACTAAAGTATAATATCTTTGGTATTACTATGCTCTTTGCTGATGGAATCCCGCGCCTCTCGGCTCATTGGGAATGGGGCCATGTTTTGGGTATGTTTTTTGCTTGGGTAGCTCCATCTGGTACTGGCACCAGTGTGCTTTGCCCCTGCCCAGGAGTTCTGCATCCCAACTATGTGTTGGCAATTAGCAGAGCTGTTGGCAAGGCCCCAGGCTGCAGTGTGACATCTTTCCATGCATGTGGAGTGTGCACAGGTCTGTATATGTCTGCGATGGGTGTGGATTCATCTTCTGTTCTCAACAATGTGCACGTTTTTGCTAATATAGGCGAACTTCAGGGCTTAAGTGTAGTTTTCATTTCCAGGTATGACATGGCAAGATGACCTCACACAACAAGTGATCTCCAGAGAGCTCTCCAAACTCAGACACATGCCCCTCCACCACCCTGTCCTACCCCCAGCATCCCTCACCTCTCCCCACGCCTGGAAACAGAGGCCAGAGCTGAACCAAAACCTCCAACAGTATCTCTCCGACCTGGGCTTTCTGAACGAGTCTGAGCTACCAGCACAACCAGAACCAGTGCCTCAACGAGCAAACAATATCCAGGTAAGCTCAAAAGTAAATGAACTGACAATCATAGAAAGTGCTGCTAAATGTCATTTCTGGTAACTCCTACATATACATATAGTGATAAGACCGACATGTGTGGAGCATTTATACACTGTATTTGTGATGCACTGTACATTCTCACTGGTGGTTTAAAATGGAAGGGGCCTCTTCCTCTCCTTTAGAAGGCTCCAGTAACTCTCTTTGCTGGGGGTCGCCCTCTTGTTCATGCTTTTGTTTCAGCTCTCTGTCTTCTTCACACCGCCCACTGAGGAGGAACCCTTTTGCACAATGATCTTCCATCACCACTTTACATTATTCAATCCTCATATTTAGGGTGGGACCCCGGCTTTGTGTGCAGTCTGCGAGGCATCCTTCATAGCTGGGCCGCTTCCTGCTGCTGTGTCAGTGCAGCTATAATGCAGAGTTGAAGAGTTCAGGACCTCTCTTATTGATGAGATGAGGCCCTTTGTTGTATAGCGTGATGGAAAAAGGCAAACATGGTTAGAATGAATGGCAGAGCGCCCCCATCTCGCTGTGCTAATGCCATTATGGCTTCTCAGTATGCCGGGCTACGAAAGCCTGACATTTTCTCTATATACATTTGAAGGACAGAAAATGGCACCAGGGGAGATAGCTAGTATTAGTGCAGCAGGGACATGGATAATAATGCTGCGCAGTGGATCGGTTATGCCACTGTCTGCTGAATTGAAGTGCAAGTCTTTACAATTCACACAATGATTTTTTTTTTTATCTTACAAAGAAAAGAAAAGAGAAAATCACACATTTTGAGGCCAATATTGATCCTGACTATGATGGGACAGACTTATATGCGTCTAACAGTCCCTACGGCGGCTCATTGTATTGTACATCCATAATTCATGCTACATCACTGTAAGCTCACAGTTAACTCGGATTCAGACCTGTAATTTTAGTGTTTAGATAAGGGTTTTCAGTTAGTTCTATGACAGTTGGGATATGCTTTTAAAGTTTGTTGTCTATTGTGAAAATGCATGAAAAACACTGCAAGATTGACACTATCTCATCTCTGATTTCCATAATGCAATTTCCAAGGGCAGTTGTCTTTGATCTGAAATCCTTATTCATATCCTGTCTTGTCTTGCTGAGCCCAGGTTGCTATTCTTATTATAGCGAAGACGCCGCCCCAGAACAACCCACATAGTGCTGCTATGGTGGAAAGCACATGGAGATACAATGAGATATATTACAGAAAATAACCGCAATGCAACCCTTTGTGTTGCAGAATGAAGATTTCAACTCTGATGGTCAAACAGAGTCCAGTTCAAAACCCAAGCACACCTGGAAGGAGCATACTATCTACAGCATTCATAAGGGAGATGGACAACCCCCAATCACAAAAGTCTTCACAAAGAGTGGGGAAGGCAGGCATCCCAAACTTGGCTCAGCTTTCCCTAATCAAAGACCAGGACAGGGCAAACTATTATCCGGGCATTTGGAACGACTTCTCAATGACATACCCACCAAGACTCAACATGAAAGCTCAGGAGTCCAAGGTGCATGGCCCAAAGGGAAACTGCAGTACTTTAGTTCTGACCATCCAGCTCCTAATGACAAAGAAGAGGCACAATCCCAGTTAGCATTTGGGTCCAAGGCATCAAGACCAAACCTGGATAAAACGCTGTACAAAGCGGGCTCGATTCATCATTCAAAACAGCCATTTGGTCTCATGGATGGTAAGAAATTATGTTTACTTTCTAACTTTAATTGCATATTGTTAAATTAATCATGAAAAACTAAATTACTAAATACCAATTACCAGGATTTTTTAATACAAAATATTAGATTTCTAGAGTCTACTTTTCGACCTCTATTTATGTCACACCAAAATAAATAAATCATGAAAAAGAATTACATACATTTACCTATTCAGCAAATGTTTTAAAACCTAAAATTACAAATACAATGCAATCACAAAAACACTTTTAGCAACAACTTGAAATGTTCTTTTTACTTCCTTTTTCTTCAGACCACTTCCTCCAGAGCATGTTAAACCAGCTGGGAAGTCACAGCATGAACCTTGATTCTCTAATGGGAACAGACCTGGACGACCTGGTTGGGGTCATCAATGGAGCTCTGCAGGAGGTGCATGAGGAGCGCCCCGCTGTGGCTGTGGCCCAGTCTGGACCTGCAGCTGTGGATTCTGAGGGGCCAAAAGAGGCCAATGGGGGGCCACTCAAGGCGACAGTGCAAAATCAAGAACCAGAGCCGCAGTCAGGGGGCGACACGAAAGGTGTTGAGACTGTCAAACAAAAAGGTGAATCAGGAAATAGGAGATAATTGTTTTAGAGATTTAGCAAAGCATTTTCTTTAAGCATGATATATATTTAAAATGTTTTTTACACAGTCTGCTCACATACGAATTGTTCTTTGGGTTATTCAGGCCAGACAAAGGAAAACATAAACAAAGAGCCTGTTGACAAGGTGAATCAAGTTTATTTTCTCAAACATCAAACATGCTTTAAGTTGTGCATGAAATACAAATGGTGTGCAGGTATTCATTTTATGTGCTATTACATAAAACACACAACTGCATCATATTTTTTAAGTGAGAACCAATGCAATTGCATGAACATTTTAAGAGCTTTTTAAGAATGACATCCATTTTAATATTTGTCCTTGTATGATTAAGCTATTTAGACCTATTTTGTGATATATATTTGCCACTTAAACTGTTAACATATGTTTTATAATTGAAAGATCTTCTCAAAGCTAAGATGAAGTAAAGAAGGAAGGTAATAAACATTGCTAATTTAATCTATCAATTTCACAGCATTCAGTCTTCTTCTCTAAACTACTAAACTACCTCAACATGGAGCCTTTTGATGAGGTGCCAAATGCAAACAGTAACCCCAAAACGGTCGGTCTAGAGAGTGTCCAAAGCAGAACCACTCAGGGCCAGGCTCCAGTTGTGCACCACTGGGAGGAGAAGACCATGGTGGGCCCTGCCAAAGAGGGCACCACTCTGCACCTGACCAGTGGACCTCATGGACCAGATGCACAGGTGGACTCGGAGATGGAGAGGTGGATGCAAGAACTTCAGAGGAAGAAACAGCTGCAGGACCCCCAGAAGAATGACATGAAGGTCAAAACCCAGTTGGTCCACGTGGGGGTGAAGGAGTTCTCTAGCCGAGGGAAGGACCGCCATTTTGGATACATCATCACAGGCTCAGAGTGAGTATTACTGTTGCAATCTCCCATATATTCTCAGTTAAAGGTCTTGTATGCCACTTTCTAAGATACCATTGGACCTCTTTGCAGTAGTTACATAGTTAGTACAATTTATAATGTGCATGTATAAGAAAAAACTATTGATCCCAGGTCTGTTCATTTGCACCAAGAAAGGTTAGAATTGAAATCTGTCACCATCTCCTGGTAACAGTGGGAAGTAAAACATGCTCATTTAGCAGCATTGCTAATTACACATGGTAAAACTGATCAAATAAAATAGTGTCGCACCCACTACTCTTGGGTCTGGTGCTAACTCATGTATGGAGATACACTGCCCATGGAGCTATTGGGGTTGCATTCAGTCTCTGGTAAGCAAAAGTGCAAATACTTGTAGAAAATAATCTTGTTTAGCAGTCCTTTATTCTGTCTCATACTGACCTGTATTTTGTATCTAGTCATTCTGTATCTTGTATCAGTGTAATAGAAAGCGATCTTCTCTTTAACCTCCAGATAACCATATTAGCATTTCAATGTCTTCTTATAGTTTATATTTATTTATGTTTCTTTACTGTATCCTTGCAATTTTAGCCTCATAATGCTTGAGTTGACATGGGTTCAGTCATTTTCAAAACATCTATTTCTATACTCATGTTGTCATTAACCACCTTCTGCAAACCACTTTTGTGCTCTGAAGTGGTCTTTATGTAGACTTTATGGTATGGCTCATAGTGTTATATAGGTATTTAAGTTCCCCGCTTCTCTCTCCACTTGTCTTGACGCATATTGGCGCTGTGTCAATGCAGACTCATTTTACCCACCTTAATATCATACATACGTCTTTGTTCACTTACTTAAACAGCCTTTAAGAGTTTTCTGTCAGGCCCACCCACGTATTCAGGCTTTTATACTGAAGAATACAGTAGTCAGAAATCTTCTATATGTGCGGCCCCAGATTACAATAGCGGCCATGATAAATCCCTCAGTGTGTGGGTATTAGATTACTGTATTACTGCTTTAATGATGATACTTTGTCGAGAAGGGAGCCAAGTTCTCCCTCTCCATCTTTTTCACCCCCGGCACTCTACAGATAAGTTCCTATCGACTACGTGTTCACTCCTGGCCCGCTTTCAAATCCCTTTATGGCGTTATCAAGTCCGGTGTCAGTGCCTTGTCCTTCACCTGCCCAACAGATGTAGCCTATAAAGGTCTGACGGGCACAAATGTTTTACTGCCACGCGAGTAGCAGCAACGATTAAGACGTAAACAGTAAACATAATGTGCCAGAGGGAGAAGAGCAGGTCACCTTCTGGGCCCAATCACCCCCTCTGCCCACCAAGAGGACGCCTATAGTCGGCCTATAGAGGCGTCTGCTGCAGCCCTCATGATTGCACGGTTGTTATCCCCAGCTTCTTCATGCCCCGCAGTGAGGCTACGCAAACCTGCTTATCTGACAGCTCCTGACATTGTGGCGGCAGGAGCGCGGAGGGTGGGTGATTTCTGGGGAATAGCAGGAAGGTTGGTGAGTGGGAGAGGGGGGTTGGATAGAACAGAAAGAGGCAGAAAAGAGAAACCCAAGGGAAAAGTGCTAGCATCAACAAGCAAGTCACTCCCAGAGCCCTCCAAGTTGCTAGAATTACCACAGAGGGATGCAAACGTGTCTGGAATGGCTATAGAGAATCTTTAACTTTCAAAACCTCCTTAAGAAGTGAATAGCAAATCACACACTGTGCACATGCATTTTGTTTGCATTTGAGACTACTTTAATGTATAGTCAAATGTAGCGTGACAATCATTATTTTGATCTTACTATAGCAAAAAGGGGAGAAGATATTTTCTCAAGAGCATTAAAAAAAAAAGATTAGGTCATCTCTGAATTGATTCCTAGCTCTTTCCACATTTGGTGTCCATGGAGGGGTAACAAATTCGACTGTGGCTGCATTGTGTAAAGCCTCATTATGATCCCTGACCTTTCGGTGCATGTCACCTTGCCATCACTTGACAGTCCCACTTGTTCCAGGTTAAGCTGTCAGCCTTAACTTTGTGCATGCCCTTCTTATTTCCGCCGTCCTGCACGTTGGCCTGCAGATTGCCTTTGTTTGGTCTATTTCCTTGGCGATTTACTCTCTGAGTGAGAGAGCAGCAGCGGACAGAGCAGAGATGAGGCATGGCTTTATCAGACCACCATTACACTTCACCCCCATTCCATTTGCACCTTATTATTCTCATCTCATCCCAGAGCACGTGCATGCCTGTGTGTGTGTGTGTGCGCGTGTGTGTGTGCATGCATGTGTGTGTGCTGTTATCATGTCGGACTGCACACACCAGTCAAAGTGAAAGTGTGTGCACAGGAGGAGAAAGATGAGAGAGGAGGAGGGAGAGTAAGGTGTGTTCATATGATACAGCCATTACACCTCATGCAGGTTCCATTTGCACCTTATTGTTTGTCTCATTGCTGGAAAAAGCAGGTGATTTACCAAGCCTGAAGAGGCAGCTGATCCCTTTTCCCTTGGCACCAAGCTTTGTGCACTTGTTTGTGTTTGTGCACCGCTGTATGTCCGTCCAGCTTCTGTGTGGACACACACACTGCAGTCATTCAGATAGCTTTTGCGTGTGTTCAATGACCCATTTGTAGTTGTGAATAGTGCCAGCATCTTCCTAAAAACATTTTAACGGATGAATAACCACATACGTCAGGTTTGGGTGTGAACTTCAAATGTGTGTTTTTTCCTCTAGTTCCCTGACCACTGACCAGGGCCTGGATCTGATGGAGCGGCTCGCACAGAGGAAGAACATCCACGCAGCCGATCTCACCCAGCTCTCGTATGTAAACACAAAAATAACCATGACAACCTAATATACTTTTACCTGTGCAAAATTAGTGAAGATAGAACCATTTTTTAAACATCCAAAATAACTGTAGCAAAGTATCAGGGGTTAAAGATGGTCTGTTAGTCTGGGAGCTCCATCAGACAGTGGGCGTGTTGTTTTTCTGACCTTTAGTGATGTTTGACTTCTCACAGGGAGAGAAATCGCTCCTAATTACCTCCAGACACATCTTGATATCTCTATTGCATTCAAAATACTGCTGCGTCTTCTCAGCATTCTCTGTCAGAAAGAGAACAGTCTGACCACCAAACGCCTCCGAAAGAAACTGGCTGTGCTGATTTGAAGCAGATAAATCAGTACAAATAGACAAAGCAGTCCGACAGGAGGTGCTTAATACATTAATGAACATACGAACTGTCCTTGAACTGGAGTCAGTTGGCGTTTGTTGCCGTGGTTGCGCTGTATCGTCGTGTGTCAGACCATGTAGGCGGTAGAGGAGATGTGCTCGACTACGATCTGACAAGCCTTTCATGGCACTCCGTTGCCGTAGTGAAGTCGGCTGGGTAACACCGGCAGCATATGAACACAGCAGCCTGATGTAGTGTAGACACAGCGACTCCCGGCTCAGATATGAAGTACTGAGAGGGAAACCTGTCAGCCTGCGCTCAGCCAGCAGCACTAAAGACACACTGTGACTTGGAATTAAAGAAGGACATTCGCTTCTCTCTTTTGAAATCTCTCTATACGAATGCTAGAAATGTCATCACGACTGCATGGGGCCAGTTAATCTTGTTATTACACCTGTCATTTTCCATCATTCACCATCAGCTCTTCATGCACCTAATGATTGTTATTATCTTGATGCTGATGAATAGCCAGGAACATTATATAACGGTGCAATCACTCGCTGGGGTAAAAGCTAAAGGATAAATTAAGCCTCTTCAAAGTAAACTAAAAAAATATACTGACTATTTTTGATTTTCACTTCAGTTCTCAAGCTATTCTCTAAAAAAGTCTTATTAAAGATAAATTGTTTATGTCACAGTAACAGTCCATCCCAATCCCAAGTCCACTTTGGTTCTGGAAGTAAGTTCCCATTCATTTTTCACTTAAACATTTAAAAAATTCTAATATTAAGAATTTAAACGCACGGCAGAAACTAACCAGCATTGTGGTAACTTTATTCTATACTGTAACTGTACTTACTGTATCAATAGCGTTTTTTTGCACGGGGGTGAATATAGTTGAAATAGTGATTGTCCCAGTTACAGAGTATAATGCTGGGATAGTCAGAGAGAATGTGTGTCTGGCTGAGCGGGCGCGGCAGGTGAGTTTTTGAAAGACTGAACGCTGGAGCTGGGTCAGAGCATGCTGCCCTGTTCTAAGGAGCTCTGATGGGAGAACGTCCCACAGAAGAAGAGCTACTCAACTGTGACAACACGCTGGTTCACAAGGATGCTGGAGCTTGTTACATTCTCAGACACAATTATGTTAGAGCCCACTACTGTAATCACCTCAAAATATTCCAGAGAGATTTGAATTGTGGGTGTGAGGTTTGTGTGTAACTGTGCGTGTGGGAATGTATTTATCACATTGTGCGGACTAAAATCTGCATACACACTCAAATCATAGGAACCTGCCTTCCTTATGGGGAAAAAAATCAGGTCCCTCATAATGTTATAATAATAATTCTTAACTATTAGATCAAGAATGTGTTAAAGTTCAAAGATGGATTTAAGGGATTAAGGTTTAGGTTAGAGGCAAGAAGCAAGTTAAGGTAAGGATCAGTCTCCTTGAAACGAACATTAATGTAATGTCCCCAAAAAGCATGCAAAGCTAACTTTTGTGAGTGTGTGTTTTTTCCTCTTTTTTTCTTCTTTTCTTTCTCTTTTTTTGTGCAGATGACGTAAGTGCTTTGCTCTACAGAGACACTAGAGGGAGCAGGACACACACAGAGAAGCCTATTCATCCTCACATAGACAGACACATGCCCCCCTCCCTTTCCCTTTGCCAATATCCCGCCAACCAGTCGTCACATACAATGGCACGGGACATAGTGTGAGGTCCTCGCAATCTTCCAACTTACAGCTTCGCACTCCCCGTATTTAAATAAGCTTGGACCAAAATCCTGTCATTTCAATTTCGAGATGCATCAGGATCTCTGGCAGAGTACCTTCAGCTCGAGAATGAGAGTGGAAGGCTGGGGTGAAGATTGTGGAAATATTGACATTTAGGAGAGCAAATAGAAACGCAGGTGAAGGACGTATTACCCGCTAGCGTGTGAGCGATCGTGTTCACAAACGCATCAGAGCATGCTTGGGTTGGCTGGTCAGTCCGTTCGCCCGCGCTGGTTCACATATTGCTTTGGGGCCGGTGCGCGTGTCCCGGGCTGACTGATGGAGGAGTGGGTGCGGGTCACGGCTCTCCGGCACTCTGATGAATCTGCTTCTCTGTCACACAGTCCATCAACAAGTGCACTTCAAATGTACGCGCGCGCCACTCATAGGGTTACACTGACACAATGCGCCGTCCACATAAATCACATACAGTGCTGCTATAGGGTTCACTGGGAAAAGCTTATTGTACTGCGGTGCATATAGTGGCTACAGGAGGTTATAGATCAATATTAGGTGTATGTTCAATACTGAAGTTGTTCAATTTAAAAATAAGCACATAATGAAAGCATTCACTTATGATTTACAGGTTTCACTGCATTTTAAGGCTAAAGAAATAGAGAAGTGAAAAGCCAGCATTACAAGATAAAATGACTTGCTTTATTTTAAAATCCTGTGTGATGTGATTATTCTTCAATTCTTGCAAAGGTGAAATTTTTAAGCAAAATTAGAGGAATAAATTAATCAAAGAACTGTTGGGTCTAATTGTAATTTGTTGACTATTAGTCGTCATATTTTATTCACAGCTTTTTATTCTTGTAACATTCTTTTACTGTATGAAAATGATTTGAATCCTAACTATACAAAACGATTCTCACTGGAAGTAAAGCACATATTTTAGACTGACAGAACGCCAGAAGTGCTTTTTAATGTTGCAGCAAATGTTTACCCAGATTTATGCAATACTTAAGCACTGATCATTTGTGGATTCCTACCATGTGTTTGTCATCAGCATCTCAAATATAACTAATTTAATTTTGATTTTGAAACTTGGGCAAAATGATCTCACCACTGTATGCCAACATTTACTTGCACACTGATTGGATCATTGGGGAACTACAATTAGTGCTCAAAGCGAGGTGCCATATTTGTTTCTGATTGGCCCAGACGGGGTCTTCATCATACGCGCATGATGATTTTCTTATTGTTTTCTTTTGAGGATGTTTTGAAAGGAGGTCCTCCCTCAAACTATGAAACCACTGTTTGTTTGTTATTTTGACAGCTTTTATTGAGATTCTCTTATAAATGTCTTTCCAGTTGGGATTTTGAGTGGTCGTGGCAGTAGATGCATGGCTTCAAGATACACCTTTATTTTCTGGCCACTGCTGGGAGTTCTTACAGGCACAGGGTTGTTAGATTTTATTTCATGGGCAACCTCTGGGACCTTAAACATTTATTCCGCTCCAGGGATAAAAATGTGTATGTGGCAGTGCGCTGGACAAAAGCAGTAGCGACAGGGAGGACAGGGAGGTTAAGAGAGCACAATGCTGAGTGGACAGCTACATCCTTGTGCAAAATGAATGCAGATTTTTGAGCTACACTCCATGGTTTTTCAAGATATTCAAAGCTTTTAGAATTATCAACATGTTTTTTTTGTAATGTGCCCGTGCATTCACAGTAGCATATGTACTTGTAGTGTTAGCTTTGGAGCAAAAATACTTATAAAATACACTATTTAATGTATGCAGAATATCTGGTCCATGTTGATTCAAACTTGAGTATGTTGGAACTATTTGTAATTTGTGTAAACATTCCACTAATCAAAGTTTTTAATCAAAAAATGTCACATACAGCTTCTTGAGTACAGCAGTGAAAATAGTCTGATTGAAGGACCCAATTTTATAGCTGATTATGGTAATATGACCCAACATTATTTTTTTTATTTTGCTTTAAAAATCATGTTATAACTACAGAAGCTCATTTTCCTGTGTTAACCACTGAAAGTGCCGTTTTAATTTGCCACCCTTCCATTTTGCTAGATAAACACAATTTCAATGCAACAGACCTGCCTAAAACCCTGCATCTTTTCAGATAGAGATTTTTGATTAGTCAGGAAGAAGCAAATTTGCAAAATCATGCTAAAATTTGAATCAATGATCATTGATTCGACACTTTCACACACTATTCAATCCATGTAATCTTTTAGTCATTTTTTGTCTGTGCTTTCTGTGCAGTGTCTTGGGTCCAGCGTTGACCTTCCGAGTGGGCCATAACCCTAAGAACGTCTCTACAGCCGATCTAGTGGAAGTGGCTGGTAAGAGCAGTTCATATTACCCCCTTGTCTCCTCACACATACATTCACCATCATACTCCAGACAACCATCATGGCGATTTATCTCCTTTTTACTGGTCCACTACTGTCAGCTGGCATGTGCACTCCACTAAATGAGAACACAGATTAGCCTCTCCAGATAGCGCAGATAGACCACAGTTCATCTTGTTCAGACAAAACCCCTGTCCCATAGAAGATTATCAAGCCACCGTGATGACAGATGACCATCAATTACAGAAGAGATGAGTCCCAGCTCCCATCCCTACACACACTCCCCTGCGGTTTATTTGGTCTGCTATTGTGCCCAAACGGCTGACAGGTTCAAGCAGGTCTGCAGAAGCCAATCACTTGGAGTCTATATGTGCCGAGGCATGTATGCACTTGTTTGATGGAGCGATGGAGAGCTGTCAGGAGTAGAAAGGAGGTTGTCAGTATGCAGTGTCCCTGCTTTCCTGTTCAATGTCTGTGCTGTTTGTGCTTTTGTGAGGAAAATGTGTATGTGGGGTGTGTGTCCTTGCTTTGGACGGAAATGACTTTGAGAAGCACGACAATACTCCCAACAGTCAATATCATCCAATATCAGCACACTGGAACCAAGATGGCGCCGGTGTTATTGGCTGGAATGTGTCATCGCTGTTTCAGATTTTGTCATTTTTTTGGAGTTGGTTGTTTTTTTTTTTTTGGGAAGTGGTGAATGATAATGTCTGATAGATTGTAGTTTAATACAGGTTTGAGATTGGTGATACTGTTTGATTGTCCAGTAAATTGGCCCACAACTAGTAATTTAAACATACATTTTGTCTGCAGGCCTGTCACAATAACAAATTTTAAAGCACGATATATTGCCACAGAAAAATATCTCGATAAACAATAATATTGAACTAACTACCTACCTAACTAAACTACTCTATACCTGTGATACCATAAAAAATGAATCAGAATAATTCCGGTAAATCATTTATTAAAAAGCATGAGCCACAACAAATAAATACCAGAAAGAATCAATTATTAGATTTAGATGTTACTTTTTCATTCCTCTACAGCTCAAACCTTACTGTATTACATAAAAAAATAACAGTAACCTCCCCACTACTGCAACAAAAATATACACGCAGCTATCATATAATAAACAATAAGTAAATACAATAATTATCACGACAACTCTAACTTGAACTTCCGTTCAAGTGTTTTTTATGCATTCATTTCCAAATTTACTTAATTCTAAATACCGGTAGGTAGAAACAGTACCCTTTTTTGTTTGGTTTGGTTTCAGTACTTAAGTAAATGTTGGTTAGTCTAGTGGATCACTAAACTATTATATGACCACTACAGAGTAAGCTGATAATTATCTATTGGTGTTCCTCAAAGAAAACGCTGTGTACATTTGTTTGTTTTTTAATGACAATAAATCAGTATCACATACATAGAACCTTAACAGGTACTTTGTCTTCCAGTCCAAAACTGCAGAATCGACCTTCTTCTGCCCTCCTAACTCTGCTTCAATCTGAAGTTATCAAATTCACAACACTGGGCCTTGCTGCCTGCCTCTTATTGCAGCACTTCACAGTAGCGGTGGAGTATGGTGTTTTTATTAACAAAAAATAAACCCAAAAAACATTGCAACAAATCTAACCCTATACATATCACTCAATGTAATTTTTCCAAACAAACAAAGTAAATACAGGGCTGTGGCTGGAGATATGAGACAGGTGCAAATTTGTGCCCCCTTCAAATATAAGAATAACATATGGATGCTTTATACTATCAATTTGTCACAAGTTTAAAGGTCCTGTATTGGACAAAATTGACTCTTGTATACTTTAAGCAATGTTATAATGCTGTTACCTCCTCAAAAACAACCCGGGGTTGTGTTTTGTTTCATTCCATTCATATGTTTGAATAACCCTGGTTTGTTTTTCAGTCTCCATCTCCAAAACTCAAAATGCTCTGTTCCACCTTGTGATGACATGTAGTGGTAATTTTCAAGTTAACACCTACCTTTTACCTTTTATTTATCAGAGATGGGCAATTCCAAGGCTGAAATCACCCAAATTATTCTAGTGAAGGTGTATGATTTTTTAAAATAAAGTGGAGTATTTCCTGTAGTGCCACATGACATTATAAGGTGGAAGAGTGTTTTCCGTTTGAGAGTACAAACGGAAGCAGGGTTTGTGTATTAAACATGTGTGAATGAAACCAAACCAAACAAAACTCCAGGCATGTTTGTGATGAGGAAACAACATTATAACATAGATTAGGAAACACCATGATGTGGGCCCTTTAAGCCATTCATCACTTTGTACTAAATAAAGTTGTGTTAAATAAATGAGCAAAGGGGGCCCATATTAACATAAGTGTACGGAGGCCTCTTTCCTACTTTGAGTCATTCTTCACTTGTGCGGTGACGGACTTTGATGAGAGGGCATGTGGTGGGGGCTAATGACAGGCGTGGACTGGCCCCAAATGTCAGAGCAAATGTTAAGTCAACACCATCACCAGGCTGACCCATGCTGATGAATTATGAACACACAACCCACTAGAATGGTGATTGGCCCTATACACAGCAGCTTTCAAACCTCTCGGCACAACTGGAAAGGAGCTAAACACACTCAAGGGCAGGTAAACCAGGCTTTTAGGAAAAATACACCTTACTGAAGCTATTTGTAAACCACAGACAAAAAAGTGTTTAAATGGGAATTGTTGTTGACCTTGCAGAGAGTGCTTGCCTAGTAATAGCAAATGGAACAAAAACATGGAAGTAGTTCTAGGCAATACCACCAGGAGTACTTTCACCGCAGGAAGTTGTTGGAAATGAAATAAATGTATCTTTGTAGCCTTAGTAGTGGGAGGTCACAGAAAGTAGAATTTGGAGTAGTAGCAACAGTAGCTGGTGTATGTATACTTATAGCTATAGTAGAGAGTATAGAGAATAGCTTTTGTATACTTTTTCTCATGTGAGGCACTTGTGAGTTTAGATGTACAGGCCTCATTATTTCCACAAAGCCCATGTCAGACCTCTTTGTATAGAAACGTAGTAAATGATGCTCAGAAAGAGTGAAGTGGTTAAATCCCTCGTCTTAGGAGCACCGTGGACCCTCCATGACCTCCCATGAAACCAGGATGGAGCTTGATCTCCTCTTTGCACCCTGCTGTGAAGTGGACGGAACCTTTTCTTTACAAATGAATGCTTCAGATTTTCTCCTCACACATCTCCAGCCCCATCTCCATATCTGCATGACATTACATTGCGCACAACATGACAACAGCATGCTGGTTTCACAGTGGTTATGAGGTGCCAAACCCAGAGCGTGGTTTAAGTGCTATTTGAAAATGGAGCTGACGCCCTCATGCAGTGGCCACCTGGGTAATCCTGGCTGACCCTTGACCTCTATGTGACTGTGCATAAATGACGTGGCCTCCTAATGAACTCATCAAAACTCCCCATTGAACATTGTTCCCAGTAGCCAAGCTGCATCTATTACAGCACATGAACTAAACCTGGAGAACAGACTGTGTACCATCAGTTAGGTATTATGTATATTCACACTATTATACATTGACTCAATTTTAAGCTAGTATACTGCAGGTGCATTTTATGCTGTAGTCTTAATATTGTCTTAATATTTGCAATTGTATGGGCCTTACATTACCCATGAGAATGTGTGCCCTGTATTCACATTCTTGGTAGAGATAGCATGACCTCTTACATGTATTTTTGGAGTCACTTATCACTAAAAAAATAAACTATTACATCTTATCCACGCAGTCTGACTTTCTTCACCAAAAATGCTGATTAATTATTGCATGACTGCTGTGTTTTCCTGTCCAGCAAACCCTGAACGGGGCCATAGAAACATTCACAATATCCTTGAATCTTTTGAACATGGCAGTAATTACCTCTTGTATTATAACATACCACACATGACATCCACTTCCTCTAGCATTTATTGCTGTCCCAGTATTGTGAGTGCCTGTGTTATTGCCCATGTGTGTTGTTGCCTTGTTGCTGCTGCATTTTTCAGTGTCTGGAGCCTTGTGTTACTCGAGCAAAACATAAAATTCACTCTTGAGCTCAAGGCTACAAAAATGTGTTTGAGTAGATGTACTGTATCTCAGATGAGATTTAGACTGGTGAACTCATGGCAGTCTGCTTTTCAAAATATGCATCTTCCCTGAACTCTTCCCTGAACTGGGGCATAGACGTTAGCTGGCATTACCTTAACTGTACACTGTGAGAGAAGTTAATATGGCAGCGCTACATTCGGCCGTCCATCTATCTGCCCATCAGTTCTATTTGATGTGTTCAATGCCCCATTGAAAAGAACAGACAAAGAGACTGGCTTGAAAGGCATGGACAGTATAGAGGAGATTTGATAACTCATTGAAAAGCATCTTTTGGGCAGCAGGTTCTTAGCGGCTGTGAGCTGAAAGGCCTGCTGGGAGGTCTGACTGTATTAGTGGAGGTAGAGGCTCTTGTGTTCTGCTCAACTGGAAAACCGCAGGACAAAGACCTGCACTGCCTAATCCCTGCTCGGCTGCAAAACAAAAGAGAAAGCTGCTGCTTTATCAAAACTACAAGGCATTCTGGCTGTTGTGTCTGTGTGTGTCTGTGTGTCTACTTTTGTGAGACATTCTTTTTTTGCAGCTGTGTTCTTACTGTGCCAAGAAAATGATTTATTCAATATTTGATGAAGTGGCAGCCAAGCTGTTAAAACCAATGCAGAAATGTCTTGTTTAGAACTGTACTTTTTGCTTCTGCGCTTCCTTCCCATCTCTGTATAATTTCTAAACATGTAAATCACCTTCAGTAGTGGAAATTGGATCTGCCAGAAATGCTTTTGTTGACTGTAAAGCAGCATTTTGTAGATGATGATGGATTTGATCCCCTTCCTCTCTCCACTTAACATGCACGTTTGTCTTGGTGGAACATCTTCACTGGTGTCCTGTCATGTCTTTTCAAATCTTCTTCAGTCACTGCTCAT